AATTAATTCATAAGCCTGGTAGCTCTATGGGGAAAGCGGACACTTTATCCAGAAGAGAGGATCATGCCATCGGCATCAAAGATGACAACAAAGGTGTTACCATGATAGACCAATCAAGGGTTGCCAATGTTAGAAATGGGCAGGATTCTGATCTTCTGGAAGTCTTCAAGAAAGACATCTCCTCAGAAGAGAAGGTGCACCTTGACGGCAATGAGAACTATTTATGGGAAGACAGGATCTTCCATTTTAAAGACAAAATCTACGTGCCTGAGTCTGCAAGGATCAACGCAATAGATAGACATCACGATACTCCAGTGGCTGGGCACCCTGGGTGGCAATGAACAATGGAGTTGATCTCCAGAAACTACATGTGGCCTGGCATGGTCAAAAACGTACAGGAATATGTAAAATCCTGTCTGAGATGTGCCATGGCAAAGAATTCTCATCAACCGCCGGCCGGTAAACTTATGCCAAATCTGATACCAGCTGGTCCCTGGCAGGATATATTGGTTGATTTCACGACGGATCTGCCCGAGTCATATGGGTATGATTCAGTAATGGTGGTAGTGGATCGCTTCTCCAAAGAAGTAGTATTCATACCTACCAATAAAACCATTACCGCTGCGGGTACGGCATATTTATTTAAAGATTTTGTATGGTCTATCCACGGGTTACCAGAAACGGTTATCTCCGATAGAGGACCTCAATTTGCTAGCAAATTTATGAAAGAATTATGTAAGATGCTGGGCATCAAACCTAAATTATCAACGGTGTTCCATCCGCAAACTGATGGACAAACAGAGAGGCTCAATCAGGAATTGAAGCAATACCTCTGGATATTTATTAATGACAGACAGACAGATTGGGCCAAGTGGCTAAAGATAGCCCAGTTCTCATATAATATCAAACAGTCGTCGGCTACAGGAAAGGCACCATTCGAGGTTACCAGATTGTACCTCCCCAGAATGGGTGTAGAACCTGGTAAAAGCAAAAACGAGGCTGCTGGGAACATGGCAAAAGACATGAAGTCTGTCTTAGACGAAACGCGCAAGGCGCTATTCAAAACTGCAGAGCAGATGAAAGACAGGGCAGAGCGTAGACGCTCTAAGGCCCCTGATTACAAGGTTGGCGACCTGGTCTGGTTAGATACCGACCACTTAAAATCAAAAGATCGGCAGTCTAGAAAACTGACCAAAAAGTGGATTAGCCCTTACCGGATTAAGGAAGTCAAACCCAACACAGTGGAGCTGGAACTCCCAAAACAAATGAGGGTAGTACCCACGGTCAATATTAGCCGTGTAAAACCCTACAATGGGCCACTGCCGGCACAGCGTGTAGACCGGCCCGGACTGGTTATAGTCACCCAGGAAGGTGAAGAAGAGTTCGAAGTCGAACGAGTGGTGGATGCACGCTTGAAGTGTGGCAAATTAGAATTCCTAGTCCTATGGAAGGGCTATGGAGACGAGGACAGAACATGGGAGCCAGAAGCCCATCTGGATAACTCCCGCGATGCTGTTTGCGAGTTTTATTCTAAGAATCTCTCGGCTCCAAGGAAGCTTAGAGGCATGGATTCAAATCTTTTTAATTCTCTTTTTCAACCTATGCCTGAAAATTTAACCACTACCTCCGGTATTTGGTCTCGCCTGGAAGTCAAGCCTTAGAAGGGGGGTAGCGTTACGATAACACAGTTTTTGGACCTTCCCTTTACTTTTATTCTCTGCCTTAACCTTGTACTTTAGCTTTTACACATGGTGCCACGCCACATTTCCCTTTCTCGTGCCGCGTTGCCTTTCTTCTTATTTTAGACACAACTCTCTCACATAGTGGAGCTGGCCATGCGGGCTAGGCCCCATGACATCATCAGCCACTGTCTCTATTAACTGTATAGTACACATGTACAAACAAAACCTGTAGTAGTATATATACCCCAATAGATCCAGGAGACTCCTCAGCGAGTCCTCCTGTTGTATACCAACAAACTCTCTGCAGCTCAAGGGGTAACCACTCCCTCATCATCTTCCTTATAGTGTGTTCTGTGTGCGCCAGAGTAACTAACTCTTGGTTGTTACAGCAAGATGAAGGAAAACTTGGAAAAACTCAGGTTGGGCAGTGGGGGATGTTATCTTGTTGTAGTCACGTCCTGCTACAGCCGTGAAACCCTTACAAACATAACGGGCTTTGAAGCATACAGGTTTGCCAATTTTGTCACACTTGATTTTGAATACAGGGCTCACATAAGGTGGCAACCAGATAGTACAGAGGATCTTGGAATGAGGGTGTATACATTGAGAGCATGCAGGCTAGAAAATTCTTCATCAAGAGCCTTCTTCCATTTAGGTGCATGGGCAGATTGCATAGCTTGTTGTAAAGTTGCAGGGTCATTGGGACAGTCAACATCAATGAGAGCATTGAGTAGTGCAGAATGAGCATATGAATGGGATGAGACAGGCTGAAAGTCTAGCCCTTCATTTTTGGTGCGTTTAGCTGATGGTAGAGTTATTTGAGAAGAATGGTGAGGAAAAAACAGTGGATCAGGAGTGGGGGCCTTAGGAGGTGTGGAAGAAGCGTCTATGGGAGAGTCTTGGGTTGGCAGAACAATTCCATGTGATAGTGTGGAGGAATTATGAGATTCTATGAAAGTGACATGGTAAGATTGGATGGCTCAACAATTTATCATAATATCAATAGCACTTGGATGAAGGGTTATAACCGATGAGTTTGCACTCAAGTGAGTGAGAGAATACTTTTGGGTTGTGTTAATTTTGTATTAAGACAAAGGCCCAAGAGCCATTCACTTGCAGATGAGAGATATCAGGCTTGTGGACAAACCATAACTCATATAGGGTTGTATGCATTAAGGAATGGGTGGTTGTTTGAATAGTGAGATAGTTGGCTGTCATAATGAATTCATCCCATAAATTTGGTGGAGCTTGACAGGCTAATCTCATTGAGCGTGCTTTACCCATCAGAGTTCAATATAGTCTTTCAATGTGGCCATTGTGCACAGATGTGTGTGGTATGGTGAATTGGTGGACTGTGCCACAGGTAGATACCCAGTTGCACATGGCATCACTGCATAGTTCACCATTGTCAGTCCTGAAAATACCGATATTACCGTGAATTTCAAGGTTGCATTCTAGTTTCCATTTCTGAAGTGATGGGAGCACAGCATATTTGGAAGGGAGGGGAATTGACCAAAAGTATGACAAGGAATTGTCTATTAAGTTCATCACATACAGGTTGCCTCATAGACTTTTTACCACTACTTCCATCAAATCCACATAAACTATACCTAGCCTACAAGTTGATCTCACACTATGGTGTATGCGTAGAATGGGGGATTTGCTTTGTTTGCTGAGTATACAAAATCCACATTTGTTCTCAACATTGTTTAAAGTGGGAGGCATACCTATAGTCTACTTGTGGTGAGCCATTTCTTTTATAGCCCAAACTTTGGCATGCCCAAGACATCTGTGCCAAGTTTCCAGAGTGGGTTGATTAAAGAAAGCATGATGCACAGCAGTATTTGATGCATTCACAGCATAAAGCTTCTTCTTTGTCAAGGACCCGGAGAGAAGATGAGCACCAGCTTTTGAGGTGATCGAACAGGATGTGGAGTCAAAATGGGCAGTGCCGCATTGCAACACATGTAGGGCAGAAATAGAGATAAGGCAAACAGCCGCTGATAGAACATACAGAACATCATGAAGGGTGAAGTGGGCACCCCATCCCAAGTCAAGTTTAATGAAACCAATACCAGGGGCCATAATGGATGAGCCACCAGCTCTATTTATAGAGTGAGGACAGATGACAAGCTAGTCCCGGGAGCAGATATAGGCGCATACATGACAGTGGACTTTGTAGTGTTATGCCAATCAACAGAGGTGATGGGATCTACAAGTGCAAGGAACCCATGGTATTCTTCATGGTCAGTGATGGATGCAGAGGTGTAAAGTGCATTATCATGAGCAAGGGTAATGAAGGCAGATGATTCAGTGGAGTCAACAGGGACTGTAGGTGCTTTGACTTCAGGAGTTGAGAGGTAGAATGTGGTTCCATTGAAAGCATCAACCAGGTAAGCATGTCCAGCCAAATCAATATGGCAAACAAGCTCAGGTTTGGAGGATATGGTGGAAGTTGGGGTAAAGCAACTCTTAGCACCTTTGGTAATGCGTACAGTAATTATTTCTTCACGGTGTGATTCTAGAGGATGCCCAGGTTGGTAGTAATCTGCTTCGAGGTGTCCAGAGCATTTGCAATTGGAACATATGCATGTGGAGCATGGAAATGAGGACATGGCAACCAACACTGATTTAGTTTGAGTGCAACCAGATCATCAAACCTGCTGTTAAAGATCAAGGTGACAACAGATATCAGATGTCTTGAATGTATGGTCAATTTTGGAGAGTTCAAAAGATACAAAGTCATAAATATGGGTCATCTCGCCAGAGAAAGCATTGAGCATGCCAATAGTGAGGAAAGTTTCTTTGTCTGGAATTCCAAAAAAACTGCCCTCCGGGCAGTCCTGGACCCGGCTTTATGCAGATATACCATGTGCTTAATACTGGTAGAATTTTATATTGGTATCACAGGACCGGAAAGTTTTAAGCATCACTCCTTACTTTCAAGCCATGTGCAAAAATAAGGTCAAGCAAGTGTTTCTTTATGAGATAATGTCCAAAAACTTCGAAAAATGAGGTACTATCATGAAATACACATAGTAAAATTTGCCCCAAGGGCCAGATATCATTGGGATGGATGTATTGAGCATGATAAATACCGTTATATTGAAATCTTCTGCACAGCAATGCAACAGAAATATAGCAAACACCATCCAAACCATCACAATCAGGCAATAACTGATGCAGAAGGGGAAGGATTGGAGGGTGTGCAAAGCAGTGTAATGCGTGAAAAACTCCATTTAAAAAGTCCCATCAAATTCCAAGGTAAATTTCAGGGTGAGACACTACATAACAGCAAGGATAAGTCACATACCACAAGACGGTAAAGACAATGTAAAGGATGAATGTACTGTTTCAAGCATGTTCTCATTGACAATAACAGACTAAGAATTGGAATTGCCCATAGCAAGAGATAATGAAAGCAGGGGGAAACAATATCGTGAAAAGAGAGGGAGAGTGAATTTCTGGATATATCAAAGGGAAGGGAATGATGACTAAAGTTAGAGAGCAATTCTAAAGAAGAATTGGACTGGGAAAATCGGTCTGGAAATTTATCAAAATGGATACCTGGATCCTGCGGGTCCAGGAAAAGTAATGTGCAAGGTCAGAAAGATGTTTGCTAGTGTTGCAGTAAGGTTCAGTGTAATTGTATTTGATGTTGAGGAATTGCTGGATTAATAGGATTTGTGACATAGGTCCAGTTTGTTTATGACACTATATTAACACAGTCCACGCATCTTTTGTGGTCATACACTTTTTAAGATAGTCTTTTTTGTTGTCGGCAGATCTGTTTGGTATGGATCTAATGATAGCTTAATTGTTTGCCTCCCAGTTTGCGGCGCTGGAGGGATTAATAGCATCATTGGGTTTTGCAATAAACCCATTGATGTAACCACATAGGAGGTTCATTTCTAGTACTTCGAATATGGTGTGCCTCCAAGACAACCAGTTGTCTTTCCCTCTGTCAAGGTGAGAGACATTCTGTGACATTTGGAAAGAGATTGTGTGGGCACTTATAGTTGCCTGTTTCCAAGTAGGTACGGTCTGATTGCCAGAGGATGAAGCTATGACAGGAGAGGTGGGCATTTGTTGATGGTGGCAGATGTAGAACATGTTGTTGGCATATGGAAAGAGGGGCAGGTTGCAGGCTACTTGATGTACTATTCCTTAGTTCAATATTAGTTTGAATTTGTGCCTATACAGATATTCTTCAGCAACTCTACTCAGTCTCATTGACTTGTTTCCAAGAACTTGGTCTGGCATTGTTTGTTGTTGTTTTATATAGCTTTGTATTTGTTGCCTGACAGAATATTGAACTCCTTATTTTTGAATCCTCTTCCAGAACACCACTCTTTGGAAGACTATCTTGCTGCACCTCAAAAAGGCTGTTGCTGCCTTTGAACAGGTCTAAACCCTCATTGTCACCTTCTCCACAACTCCACAATTCCTATCCTCTCCCTCACCTCAACATTGTCCTCTCACTATCCACCCTACTTCACCTATGTTGTTCAGTCCCCCCAAACTGGACGATTTATCTATAATCAAAACCCTCATTCACTTCATTATTGCCCTAGCCATTCAGTACTTTCAAACCAAATTCATGTCCAACATCACCTTCATCCATTGTGTCTACATCCTAACAGCACTTGTTATGATAACACAATTTTTGGACCTTTAAACTTCATTCTCCTCTTCAACTTTCTTCTGTAGTTTTCACACCCTGTGCCATGTGGCACTTTCCATCATTGTTCAAACTCCACTTCTTGCGCTGCACTGCCTTTATTCTTATTTTAGCTACAAGTATCTCATGCAGTGGAGCTGGTCATACGGGCTGTGCCCCATAACATCATCAGCCACTGCCTCCATCAACTGTATAGTATATATGTACAAACAACCTGTAGTAGTATATATACCCTAATAGATCAAGGAGACTCCTCAGCGAGTCCTCCTGTTGTTTACCCACAACTAACCCAGTCCTATCCAAAGGGTAACCACTTCCACTCACTCCCTCTATAAGCTTTGTCTGAGTTGTGCGCCAGAGTATGAAAACTTTGGTTGTAACAGCACTCAAATGAATGGGTATCAGAAATAGACTGCAGACATCAGAGAGAGTTCCTCACAGCCCTCAACAAGCCAATCCCTGTGTCATACACCAGAATTAATTGGTAGCATGGACAGGTGTCAATAATGAAGTGAATATTCACAATACTTGCCTTTGCACCACACATGCACAGTGACACATGGAATAGTAATTAACATTGCCTTTTTCAAACTTGTGGCTGATCAGCACCACCTCTATTAGGCAATCAAGTTGTGCTCACCTTTGCTTTCCATTCAGTACTTTCTGCGTTTTGGCATTTTGGCAAATTTTCATGTTGCCACTGGTTACACATTGTGCCCTTGCTTCTGTTGTTCTCCCTGACCCTTTTCCCCTTACTGAGCCCCACCATGGGCTCTTTACTCTTGTTTCTATCCTCACCAGATGGTTGTTTCTGGACTCCCATTTTGATCAAATTTTTTGTTACCTCTTTGCTCCTCCTACTTGTCTTCCTTGCCCCTCCACCACACCTGATGTCACCACTCTCCATCTACTCCCGTCGCCAATCCATCAACCACCACATGCCACTGCTAATATAAGCAAAGCCCTGGTGGCCAGTCCAAATTGGGCAACAGGTCCATCTTCATAATGTTGATCTGCCACCTTCCACTATTAAATCATTGGTTGCTCATCTCACCTGGTTGTAGTTTTTGAGCTGGAAAAGGTTCATCCCCTCATGTCATCTATGTATATCACTGTCCCATTTGCTTGGGTACATCTATCCTTTGTCCATCATCTTTGCTACAGTCACAATTACCACATGCCACCTGGGACTCACTTGTTCCAGATTGGAACTACTCCTCTCCCTCCCTTATTTGACCAGGTGGTCCACTACAACCAGATCATTGGTAAAGCCATGGAACCATCAGATTTGGACTAGGTGATGAACTGGTGGCTCCAGTTCTTTTTTCAGCAGAACATTCATTTGCAGTGCAATTATTTTTGATTTCTGATACATTTTTATATACACTATTTTTTTAGAATGCCTGACTGGCAAAAAAGAAACTGTGTTGATACAGATATTATTTTTGCCTTGCTTTCTTTACTGCATCTTCCCATGTAACAACCAAGAGTTTGTTACTCTGGCGCACAACTCAGACAAGCTATAGAGACAATGATGAGGGAGTGGTTACCCTTTAGGCTTCAACAAGTTAGTTGTGAGGATACAACAGGAGGACTCGCTGAGGAGTCT